AAAAAAAAAAAAAAAAAAAAAGTTACTAAGAACGGAATGTAATTAGTGCAAAATGATTTTGATCAAAATTTGACCTGCTATTTTTGGAAAATGATAAATCTTTTTATATATATATATAGATAGCATGCCACGTCATATATAGCGTACGCTATAGCGCGTTTTTGAGCAAAATTGAGCTATTTCGCGCTACGTAGCGCGCGAAAAAAACGCTTTTCAAAATACTGGCTAAAACACAATCTTGAATAGCAAAGAGAGAAAATGCTAATCTGCAGAAGCTGTTATCACTTGAAAGTAGACGGGGAAGAGCAGACAGTCAAAGCAGATGAATGAGCGGAAAAGAGAAAGATTAATGACGAGGAAGCCGATTAAGTACTGTTTGGCGTCATCATAAGCATCGAGCGTAGGATGTAAATGGGTCTGGCTAGGTACGGGTTTTGACATACCCGTAACTGACCCGCTTATTAAAAAATGTATCCGTACCCGACCCGTTACCCGATTATCCACCACAGGGTTCAGGTTGAGTTTTACTCGTCGGGTACCCGAATTGGTGCAACCGATCGGGTTAGATAGGATTTTTGTACCTGACTACCCTACACCCGACCCGACTGGATACAAATGACACCCACAAATGTCAGATAATTAGGAAATATATCCTAGAAAATAGTATCATTTATTTTCATAGTCTCCAACATTGATCCAAGAAAGCACTAACCAATTCTTGTCTTTACTCTATAAGTTAGCTTATCAAACTTGAAAATTAAAGGTACTTTTTAAAATTTTTAAAATTAGCTTGGATCTTTTTTTTGTAGTTAGGTCAATGTATAAGGGATCTTTCTGTCACTGAGTCCTCTTTTATACATTTCACCTGGCAAAAATATCTCGCCAAAAATTTATAATTTCCCAGAAAAAAGTTTGAAATTTTAATGCCACCGGCCAAATGAATGGGTTTTCCAGCAGTTAATGGAAAATTGAGCTCAATATTTCACCAGCATCTGTTCAGCTAAGATTCTTAATTTACTTCAAGAGATTTTATAACCATTCCAATAAAACCACATTGAACCAAATATTTAATATGCCATGCACAGGTTTTTGAATTGGAATTCGGGATCCGAGCATGAAGCGGGATACGACGCTTTCATGACTGGATGCGTCTTTTCACAGGTGTGCTCCAATTTAGGAGTCGATTTTAATTCCAATGATTTTCCCCAAAACGAGAAGCTTCAAAAATACGTTAATCATTTATACCTCAGCTGGGTGAATGGGGACCTAATTGATCTAACAACAGGGAAAGTCGCAACCAAAAATCTAGTTGCCTCAAAAGCGAAGTGCAACAGCTTTGTCTTTTCGGATATGATTCTTCTGTGGGGCTTATTGCCGACCCTGAGAGCAAATGATATCAGAGCTATTCTTAACAAGGTTTTCGGGTCGAGCTCTATCAAGACAATCTACCATTTGGACGAGACTGCGGCTTTTGTTGAGTTCAGTAAAGCAGAATTTGTGTCTGAATTTCTCAAATTGAAAGATAAATTGGAAATGGGTAAAAACCCGATCTCTATCTTGCACCCCTTGTCGATAATTTTGTAAGGTGGGTGTGTGCGTGCTGTTAATTACGAGATGTATAAAAAAATTTGTGGGTCACCCTTGTCTGAAATGGCCTTTTCGGATCAGGCTGAAGCTGTTCGGTTTATTAACAGGAGAGAGGAATTAGTAGAAGCAACTATTGAGGTCAGGCTGTAGGTAGCAACAGAGTAACACCTTTGGGAAATTGTATTATTTCTTTATGTTTTTTTTCTTCTCAGGAAGAGCAGTTGAACAGATGAGATTGAAGGTCAGTTTTGTTGTATGAACTTCAATTATTCATGTCATTATATTCTGAATCAAAAATTGAAATATCCAGTGTGGAAAATCAGCAACAATCACCGAAAACAAATGTCAAATCTTGGAATTCAAAACTAACCAACAATCAACCTCAACACATAAACCCTAAAATAACTACCTAGTCATAATAAATCCAAAAGAAATTAAAGTATTCGAATATTGCTCCTCAAGATAACATCATTTTGAATTCTCTATGGTATTTAATTTCATACAAATTCAGTTTCATATTCAACTTAACAAAATAATTTTCAGACAAATTTTGTTTCACATTTTAACATTAATATTTTCGACACTATATTAAGAATCTCAAGGATGAGTGATAGAAAAGCTTAATATAACATTGAAGAGAAAACAACCAGATTCAATAAAAGTCGACATTGTCATTGATGAAGCTTGAGTTCAAGATCTGTACATTGATGAGCAATAAAACAGTTTGCGGCTTAAGCTATCTGGAAAGAAATGAATGCTATATATATGCTCCCTCTTAGGGTAACATAAAGCAAAGAAAAAACTAAAAGCATAATTCTATCTTTCTCCTTTGGCTTGGATGGTGACAAGTGGCATTGTTCCTCACTCTTGGATCATAAGAATAAAGATGATATAAAGCCTGCAGATCTTTGTCTTCTTGCTTCCTTAAACCATGCACACACTCCACATGATTTGCCACATGCTCAAGCTGATGTGGATTTAGTTTTTCCACGTGTGCATGGGAGAGTTGACCAGCATGCTTGCATTGACTAGCTTTAACATCCCCTCTCAAGCCGAACCCGGTCTTAGAAATAACTTGAAGTTGTGATCTAAACTGGGTGAAGGATTGTGCACTTAAAGCTTTAGTGAAAGCATCTGCAATCTGTTCACCAGAAGGGATATACTGTACTTTGAGTGATCCTGTATTTATTTTATCTCTCACAAAGTGTTGATCTATCTCAATGTGTTTTGTCCTTGCATGTTGAATAGGGTTTGAAGCCAGAGCTATAGCACTTAGATTATCCACCCATATTATGGGAACTCTAGAGGTTGTGATGTTCAACTCCTTCATTAAAGATTCAATCCAAGTGATCTCTACTGTAGTGCTAGCCAAGCTCCTATATTCAGCTTCTGTACTTGACCTTGAGACAGAGTTTTGCTTTTTAGAACTCCAAGAAATCAGGTTCTCTCCTAAAAAGACACAAGATCCAGACATGGATCTTCTATCATCAAAATCTCCTGCCCAGTCTGAATCTGAGAAGCCAGAAATGTTCAAGGTAGTAGTTTTCCCAATGAAGAGACCATGATCTTTGTTGCCAGCTAAATACCTTAAGATCCTTTTAACTGATCTCCAATGTGTGTCTAAGGGATTAGCCATAAATTGACTAACTTTATTGACACTAAAAGAAATCTCAGGTCTGGTTATGATCAAATACTGTAATCCACCCACAATATTTCTATAGAAAGTGGGATTAATACCTGCTGAGGTGCCATCATACTTTGATAAATGAACAGAAGTAACCATTGGTGTAGGGCACTCCTTTGCATTTTTCATTTTAGCCTTTCTCAAAAGATCCATAATATACTGCCCTTGGTGCAAATGCATTCCTTCTGAATTTCTGGTAACTTCAATTCCAAGTAAGTGATGAATGTTTCCAAGATCTTTGAGAGAGAAGACTACACTCAGCTGAGACACCAAATGATCAATCTCCTTTGAATTACTCCCTGTCAATAAGATGTCATCAACATAAACCAAAAGAAAAGTTTGATGGTTTCCTTGATTTCTGAAAAACAAGGAAGTGTCTGATCTTGAATTTTTAAAACCAATCTTTGTCAAAATGGCTTTGAATTTGTCAAACTATGCTCTGGATGTCTGCTTTAACCCATAAATAGCCTTGTTCAATTTACAAACAAGAGAAACTGATTCCTTTTCAAAACCTAAGGGCTGTTTCATGTATATGTCTTCTTGAAGATCACCATGCAAGAAGGCATTGTTTATATCAATGTGCCTTATGTTCCAATCATGATGAACTGCCACAGTTAGCATTAATCTTATAGTTGTTGGTTTCACAACTGGACTGAATGTTTCATAAAAATCTAAACCAGCTGCTTGAGAAAAACCTTGAGCAACAAGTCTTGCTTTATGCTTTACAACTGCACCATCTGTTCCATTTTTCAGCTTGAAAACACATTTGCTTCCTACCAAATTCTTGCCAGGTGGTAAGGGAACTAAGGTCCAAATTTTGTTTTTGACTAGAGCATCATATTCTTCCTGCATGGCACTTCTCCATTGATCACTTTTCAAAGCTTCCTCAACAGTCCTTGGTTCATCTCCTTTTTCAGTAACAAGAAAAATCTTCTTGGGTTTCAGATTACCTGTTTTTGATCTTGTAACCATAGGATGTTTATTTTGAACCTGATTAGGTTCATCATCTTGGTAACTTGATTCCTCAATAGGTAAGTTTACTGCCAAGGGTATAGTGGAGTAAGAGCCACTACTGGAAGCACTTTGAGGACTGTGATGGTGCTGTTGACTGTGGGGTGTCATGATGCTGGAGTTAGGTGAGACCCTTGCACTGTGATCATAATCCCTGTTGACTTCATTAGACTTGTCACTCTTTCTTCTGACTTCATGATGCTCAAAAGTAGGTCCTTGAGTAAAGACTGGAGAATATGCCTTTTGAGAATGCTCCTTGTTGAGTTGGGTTTGAAAAGGAAAGATTTGTTCATCAAATATGACATTTCTTGTCACTATCACTTTCTTTGATGGCAGAAGGACTTTGTACCCTTTATAGTTGGAGCTGTAACCAATGAAAACACTCGGTAATGATCTAAACTCCAATTTTTGCTTATTTAAGGGCCTCACATGAGGATAACATCTGCAACCAAAGACTTTTAAGTTGTTGTAGTCTGCCTTCTTCTTGTATAGTTTCTCAAAAGGAGTCTTAAAGTCAATAACTTTGCTACTCAGTCTATTTATGATATGGACAGCTGTGGAGAAAGCATCATCCCAGTAGAACAATGGCAAATTTGACTGAGCTAAGAGGGAGAGACCCATTTCCACTATATTTTTGTGTTTTCTCTCAGCCACTCCATTTTGCTGTGGAGTGTAAGGACAAGAGATCCTGTGATGAATTCCTTGCCCTTGCAAAACACTCTGCAAACTCTTGTACGCAGTGCCACCATCTGTTTGTAGAGCTTTGATTTTGAAATTTAACTGGTTTTCTGCTGCTGCTTTAAAATGCATGAAAGCTTCTCTCACTTGAGTTTTATCTTTTAGAAAATAAATCCATGTGTACCTGCTGAAATGATCCACAAAACTAACATAATGGATAAAACCATTTGTGGATTTTATAGGAGCAAGACCCCACAAATCACTATGCACCAATTCAAAGGGATGAGAAGCAACAAACATAGAATCTGAGAAAGGCAGTTTGTGACTTTTTGCCATAATGCAAGAAGGACAGATAAAGGAGTCTTCATCTCTTTTATAAGAGATATTACAGTCATCCAAAGTTTTGAAAATAACATCTTTGCCAGCATGGCCTAACCTATTGTGCCATAGGCTAGAACTCAAATTTTTATTCAAAGCAGTAAGATTAACATAATGAGTTTCTTCTCTTGGCTGCACTGAAGTCACTGCATTGTTCTTGCAAAGTTGTAAGTTGAACCGGTACAGTCCATCTTCAAGGATTCCTCTGAGGAGTGTTGTCCTGGTAGCTTGATCCTTTACAAGACAAAATGTGGGATAAAATTCAAAGAAAACTGCATTGTCTGATGCAAACTGAGATACACTAAGCAGATTTCTAGTTATAGTTGGCACATGCAACAGATTTTTTAGAAGAAAAGCTTTAGAATCATAAGTTGACTTCAAAGTAGCATTACCAATGTGAGTGATGGGAACAACAGCTCCATTTCCCATTTGAAGCCTACTGTTACCAACATAGTCAGATGCCATGTTCAAATTATTAAACTCATTGGTAACATGAGCTGTAGCTCCTGAATCTGGGAACCAGCTAGCTTCTGAGCTATTGTCTGAGTTGGTTGCATAAGAAGATCCATACTGAGGGCCCATTTGAGCAAGATTGATAGCTGGATTCCTGGGATGACCTTGTTGTCCAAAAGCAAGGTTGCTTTGAGTCATGTTTTGGTTCCTATGCCAGCATTTGTCTGCAGTGTGCCCAGGGATTTGGCATATTTGACATATAGGCTTGGAGTTATTGTACCTGCCTCCCCTTCCTCTAGAATATCTACCAAAACGGACACCTCTTGTACTTTGAAAACCTCTAAAACCACCTCTTGTCCCTTGAAAACTGTTTTAAAAGTTGTTGAAATTTCTGTTTTGAAGGCTTTGAGTTGCTGAGTTAATGGATGGTTGTGATCCTTCTGAGTTAAGAGCTGCTCCAGTAGCATTGTTGGATTCCATCCTGGCTTCATAGCTTAAGAGTAAAGCTTGTAACTCAGCAAGTGTGCAGGGCTCAACCCTTGAGGTTACACTCACAACAACAACATCATACTCACTTGGCAAACCACTCAAGACATGGAGTATTTGATCTTTCTCTGAAATATTATGACCAGCAAAGGCTAACACATCACAATAGCTTTTCATGTTGCTAAGATATTCCTTCATGGCTATACCAGTCTTTTTCAGAGATTGCAGCAAAATCTTATACTGCATTATCTTAGCTTGTGACTGTGTTGCAAAGTTGTTTTCAAGAGCTAACCAAATTTCTTTTGCA